ACAAGCCCCTTTGCACCAAAATGGGCACCCATTTTCTTCCAAACCTTACCCGTAACCCGAAACCCTCCGCCAGAAAGGGTACCCTTTCTATACCCAGGCAACTCCCTAAACCCTAAACCCTAAACCCTAAACCCTAAACCCTAAACCCTAAACCCTAAACCCTAAACCCTAAACCCTAACAAAGATGCTGAGACCAAACTCCTTGGCCTCAAAGATTGCTGGGCTTTGGGTTCTAGGGCTCCTGGGGTTGAGGGTGTTGGAACCCCATGCACCCTATAAACCCTTTTAACCCCTCTAAACCCTTAAAACCTTTAAGCCCTTTAACCCCTTCAAACCCTTAAAACCCTTTAAACCCTTTTAACCCCTCTAAACCCTTAAAGCCCTTTAAGCCCTTTAACCCCTATAAACCCTTAAAGCCCTTTTAAGCCCTTTAGCCCCTCTAAACCCTTGTTAACCCCTCTAAACCCTTAAAACCCTATAAACCCTTTTAGCCCCTCTAAACCCTTAAAACCCTTTAAGCCCTTTAAACCCTTAAAGCCCTTTAAGCCCTGAAAAACCCCTCCAAACCCTTAAAGCCCTTTAAGCCCCTTAACCCCTTCAAACCCTTAAAACCCTTTAAGCCCTTTAACCCCTCTAAACCCTTAAAGCCCTTTGAGCCCTTGAACCTCTACATACCCTTGAAACCCTTTTAAGCCCTTTAAGCCAATTGAACCCTTTAGACCCTTAAAACCCTTTGAACCTGTATTAAAACCTTTTAGACCCGTTTAAGCCCTAGGCCCTACAGTAAGCCCGGGAATTTCGGCTCCCCAAACCTTGTCACCGCAGGCTACCCCCCGCTGTTCGCCAAGCTCTGGGACAAGTACGACCCAGACCACCTGGGTGAGATCAGTGACGCTCCAAGAGTGCTTAGGGTTTAGGGGTTTAGGGTTTAGGGTTTAGGGTTTAGGCGGGGAGCGAGGGGGGGGCTTAGAACCCCCAAGAGGAATCCTAAGATTTCCGATTTGAGGGCTTGAAGAAATACCATCTTCTCCGTCAGTTTGTCTCAGTACACTTTTGTTTTCCTCTGCGTTTTAGGCCCAAGGTCCAAGCATGTTGTCACAGTCAACACTTAACATAGCAGGACCAACGACTTTCAGGACGTCGTTTGTCTGCTGTTGAAGGAAAAGACCCAGGGTTGACATTCGGAAAGGAAGTGATGTTTAGGGGTGGGATTAGGGTCCATTGTCTAGGGTATGCAGGCGGGGGTTTGTTCTTACTTAAGGACGCTTAGAAGTCCTTTCGGGCTGTTGGGGTTTATGGTTTAGGGTGTGAGGGTTTAGGGGCTTGGGGTTTAGGGTTTAGGGTTTCATTTGCGCTGCTAACCCTTGCCCTGAACGAAAATGGTCATCCTCACACCCTAAAACCATCACAATCGAGGGAACACGGAGGCTTAAAGTCACGGGTCATATCCGCAAAGTGCATGGCCCAAAGTAGGGAAGGGCCTGCTGCGTACCCCTAAACCCTAAATCCTAAACCCTAAACCCCAAACCCTAAACCCTAAACCCTAAAAACCAACATCCTTTCTGCGAGATTGTTGGCGAAGCAATGCTGCGGGCCCCAGGAAACCCTTTGTCCCTAACCCCTAAAAACCCCAAAGCCCTGAACCCCAAAGTAACTTAACGAACCCCACAACCCGCAACTTAAAAAATGAGAACTCTCAATGTCATGTACCTGCAACTCAATACCCTAGCGCCCTAGATCCTTGCTTGGAGGTTCCGGGTACTAAGTTATAACTGCACTTAAGTAATCAGGATATACTCAGACTTATACTACGAGCTGAAGGCTTCCCCACCCCAACCCTGAACCGTAAACCCTAACCCTAAACCCTATATAAACCCTAGACCCTAAACCCTAAACCCTAAACCCTGAACCCTAAACCCTAAACCCTAAACCCTAAACCCTAAACCCTAAACCCTCATCAGGCGCGGAGCAAGCCAAGAGCTTCGCAGAGGACATGGTGGCCGCCGGCTGGAAGGACCTTCAGGGCTTTGGGGTTTAGGGTTTGGGGCTTAGGGTTTAGGGCTAGGGTTTAGGGTTTAGGGCTAGGGTTTAGGGTTTTGTTTGAGGGTTGGACTCAGGGGTTTAGATACGTGGTCTCTCAATATGGTGCCTTGCCTTCAAAGGGTTCTGAAGCCGGAGCCCTTGGGTTGTATAGGGTGTAGAAGGGGTTTAGGGTTTAGGGTTTAGGGTTTAGGGTTTAGGGTTTAGGGTTTAGGGTTTAGGGTTTAGGGTTTGGGGTTTAGGGTTTAGGGTTTAGGGTTTAGGGTTTAGGGATAAAGGACCATGCCACTGCCCTCAGAGTCCAGAGCGGCTACCCTCGCCTTCACAGCCCCCAAACACAAGGGCCCAGCTACTTCCTGAATCGGATTTAGGGTTTAGGGTTTAGGGTTTAGGGTGTAGGGTGTAGGGTTTAGGGTTTAGGGTTTAGGGATGTTCAGTGTTTAAGGTTGAGGGGGACTCACGGATCTATAGGGGCTCAAGTTTGGGTTTGCTGCTAAGTGGGCTCTAGTTTTGCAGCGTTTTGCATCGCACGAAAGCCCCCCCCCACCCCAAGCCCTGACCAAGCAATCCCCTTGAGCTGTTTCTCGTGCGTTCTTTCATGCATCAGCCACCCTAAACCCTAAACCCTAAACCCTAAACCCTAAACCCTAAACCCTAAACCCTAAACCCTAAACCCGAAACCCTAAACCCTAAACCCTAAACCCTAAACCCTAAACCCTAAACCCTAAACCCTTACCCGAAACCCGAAACCCGAAACCCTACACCCTATATACCTTTAAGAGGATTGGAAGCCCAGCGCTCAAGACTTGGCTCTGTGGCAGCGCATCATGGACGAGCCGCTTGGCAGTTGTGAGGGATTCAGGTTTGGTCTTTTTGTGGGGTTTAGCGTTTTGGGGTTTGGGTTTTGGGTTTAGGGTTTTTTTATGCTTGAGGGTTTTGAGGTTTAGAGTTTTGGGCTTTGGGGTTTTTGGGTTTGTCAAGTTTGGGTTTCAAGGGCTTAGGGTTGAGGGTTTCAAGGTTAGGGTGTAGGGTTTCGGTGTTTTTTTTGTTTTTGTAGAAGTATATATACATATATATATACACATGCACACATACCTGTTTCAATCTACAAGCTCTTTCCCGATCAGCCCTGTGCGTCTTATGAGACTCTGAGTCCATCCTTTTTATGAGAAGCATGTGAGTTTGTGACAATATGTCTTTCCCTTGCAATACAGTGCCTACAAAACTACATGTCTGCCTGTCTGCGCAAACAGAAGATTTATGTACTTATGTGATCGGTTACAGAGGTTAGCACAAGAATTCGTACGTCAAAACGTTAAGGGATAGATGTCATTATGTTATTCTTTGTTGAGCTTTAAAAATGCTAGTTTCCAACAAGGCCTATTTGATGACTATAGTCGCTAGTGTCAGTAAAGTCGCCAGTCAAAGAAACGCGCTAAACAACTCATCTCATATCCCATCAAGTAGTGTCTCTTACTAGCGAAAAGTCGAAGTTACAATACTAGCGACTTTTCTTTAATTCGAGCCCATTAACATCTTTCGACCTTATGAACCCTCCAAACCCTACAAGCCATCTAACCCTATAATCCTTAAAGTTTAGTCAGTAAGTAGGGAACTGGGGATTACAATAAAGTTTCTAGAAAATACTCAGTACCCTAAACCCTAAAACCTTAGCGCCAAACCCTCATCCCTGAACCCTAAATTGAAGGAGTTTCCAAGGAGCTCATTTAGGAATATCCCTAAACCCCAAACCTTAAACCCCAAACCCTAAACCCCAAACCCTAAACCCTAAACCCTAAACACCGAACCCTAAAGAGCCTTTAAGGGCCCTCCCCGAGGTCCGGGGGCATCTCCCTGGAGCAGTTTGCCGAAGCGAGTGAGAACGACAACTTCGCAGCTCTAGCTTTCGGAGACTGACGTAGGGTTTGGGGTTTAGGGTTTAGGGTTTAGGGTTTGGGGTTTAGGCTTTAGGGTTTAGGGGAGAAATGGGGTGAGCTGGGGGCTTTCGGATTCTACAAGTTAGAGCTTTGGAGTTGGAGTCTAGGGTTTAGGGTTTAGGGTTTAGGGTTTCGGGTTTAGGGTTTAGGGTTTAGGGACTCAGGGGGTTTTGGGGATTAAGGGATTTAGGGGATAGTACTTGATAGTACACTCCCTTTCGGGCTGTAAGGGCTTGAGGTTTAGGACTCTTGGGCTTGGAGCCCTTGGCCGGGTTGTTACAGGGACTTTTGGTTTTAGCGTTCAAGGTTAAAGTAGAGCCAGCGTTTGGCGTTGATGGTTTGTAAGTTTGTCAGGTTTCGGTAGAGAATGATCTATATAATCCCTTCAAGGGTATATACAGGGCCCTCATTCCCTCTATATACAGGCCCCTCATTCCCTCTATCCCTCATTCAGTGCTAAGAACCAGCCAGTGATAACTTCACACAGTTTGAGCATAGGCGAAGAGGGGTTCACAGTTCGGGGTCAGGGAGCGTCTGAAACCCTAAACCCTGCACCTTAATCCCTGAACTTCGAACCCTAAACCCTAAACCCTAAACCCTACACCTTAAACCCTGAACCCTAAACCCTGAACCCTGAACCTTGAAGCAGTATATGGATGGCTAGGGGGATGTAGTGCTCAGGTTTTTTTGCGGATTGGGGAGTTGAGGACTTCCGGAGATATCATGGCTTGAACGTGGTTCGGCCCAAATTGACGGTTTAGGGTTTAGGATTGAGGGTTTAGGCTTTAGGGGTTAGGTTTAGGGTTTGGGATCGGTTTAGGGTGTAGGGTGTATATTTTTAGGGCTGCTAGGACCCAGAGTAGGTCTCTCATAGGCCCCTTTACACAAAAGGGTACCCTTTGACGTATTCTTAGGGTACTCCGGGTCTAGTGTACAGTGTTCATATAATAAGGATCAGTCGGGTGTGAGGGACAGCGCTGGACTCAAATTCACAAAATGAGGAAATACGGCTTTGAATCAGAACAAGTCCTGAGTACACCCTACTGGGGCAACACACGCGAACACCGACCTCCCCTAGGCCCCTAGGGACGAAACGGAGTTCAGAGGTTTGCAGGATTTAGGGTTTGGGGTTTATGGTTTTGTGTCTAAACCGCCACGCTTACCTCTCTGATGCTGGATCTCGGCTGATGGTACGGACCATGGCCTGTGTCGAGCGCGGCAAAGCAATCCCGCGCCTGCCACCAGGGTGTCCATCAGCAAGCGCCCAACACTCGCCATCGGGGCCCCAGATGCAAAAAGCCCTGAGCCCTGAACCCTAAACCCTAAACCCTAGTTGAGGGCGAGCCAGGGCCGCACTTTTCAAATCACTTCCTCTTCGCGACTTGGCGCGGCGGAGCGCAAAATCTGTCTGTCAGCAATCTGTGTTTTCGGGTTTAGGGTGTAGGGTTTAGGGTTTGGGGTTTGGGGTTTAGGGTTTAGGGTTTAGGGTGTAGGGTTAGGGTTTAGGGTTTAGGGTGTAGGATTAAGTCCTACGAGGGTTGGTAAAGCAACGCCCTCGAAACCCGATAGGTTAGGGTTTAGGGTTGGTGAAACCCTTGAAATCTAAACCCTTAACCCCTAAACCTTGAGCCATGACACCCAAAACACGCCTCCGTAAGGCCTAAAGCCTTCCAGCCTTTAATCCTTAAACCCTAAACCCTAAACCCTAAACCTTGAACCCCTCGCTAAGGCCTAAACAACCGAGCCTAAATCAGACCCAGCACTCCAGCTACGTTTTTGGAGAGGTTCTGAGAGCCCTAAACCCTAAACCCTAAACCCTTTAAGCATAGGGTTTCGGGTAGAATCACTCTCTGTTGGCAGCAACCCAGATGTTTTCGGAAGGAGGACGAAGAATGCATAGGGCTTTGCGGTCATGGGTCGCATCCCTAAGGAAGTCCCCCTAAAACATAAACTCCTAATGTGGCCCTTAACTTCCCTTAGAGAGTTTGGCTTTCGGGCTGAGGGGCGCTCACCTCCTAAACCCCAAGCCCTGAACCCCAATACCCCAACACCCCAAAACCACAAAACCACGAAACCCTAAACCCGGAAACCCCTAAACACCTAAACCCCTAAACCAAACCCCCAAACCCCTAAACCCCTAAGCCTCAACCCTAAACCCCTACCTCTACACCCTAAACCCCTAAACCCTAAAACCCTAAACCCTTAACAACTAAACCCTAAAACTCTAAGCCCTTACACTCTACACCCAAAACCCCGAATCCCTATACCCTAAACCCTAACAACCTTAACCCCTAAACCCTGTAAACCCCTTAAAACCCCTTAAAACCACTTATAACCCGTTAAAGCCCCTTAAAGCCCCTTAAAGCCCCTATAAACCGAGGCGCCGGCCACGTAGATTGGACGACCTTCGTCGACTTCACCAACGTGGCCGCAGCAGGTCGGGGGGTCCCCCTGGTTCTCACCCTTTAAACCCTAAACCTTAAACCCTAAACCCTAACCCTAAACCTTAAACCCTAAACCCTAAACCCTTTAAGGTATTATACAGGGGAGGGCTATTTTTTTTGGATCTTGTTTTTTTTGGGTCCTTTCCTGGTTCTTAGTAGTGAATGAGGGAATGAGGGCCCTATATAGCACAGATATACCCTTTAAGGTAATATCTAGGGGCCCTATATATACCCTTTAAGGTAGTACTATAATACCCCTTAAGGTATTATATAGGGCCCTATATCTACGTCACCTTATGATACTTGAATCTTGTAACCCAACTCTATTTCTAGCAAAGGGGCCCTTCTTCCCTCCGGTAGCCAAGTCGAAAAGATTCGAACGGCAAAGTCACTCTAAACGAGCGCAGGCGGTCCATTTGCAGTGCTAGGATACCTGCCCTCTTCCCTTCAGGACCTTGAAAAAGATCGAAGGGCGAAGCCCTTGACTTTTTTTAAGGGTGTGTGGTACGCTAAGCCGTAAACCCAGGGCCCTAAACCCTGAACCCTCAACCCTAAAAACCTAACAAAGATCGATGCAGGCTCGCAGCTGGGATGGCGAACGCAGGGGATCCCGGGCCTTGTAGCGACGGAGGGGGTTGGGGTGGGGTGGGGGGGGGTGGGGAGGGAGGGGGGGGGGCTGGCTGAGAGGTTCAGGATAGGGAGGAATTTGGCATTGAGCATGAAGTGGTGGAGGAAAGCACCGAGGTTCAACACGCTTGGGGCATTTTTGGGTTGCAGGGTTCAGGGCTTGGGGGTTCAAGGTTTCGGGTCCCTGGAAGGGCTCCTTAAGAGGGATGCTTCCCGAGTTCCCGCCGAAGAAAGCCGGCGATGGGATTCAGGGCCTAACGGGTTTAGGGGGGTTTGTGGCCTGGGTTGCATCGAGTTTAGGGCTTGTAGGGTTGAAAGGCTTGATCAGAGGTGCTAGGGCTGGCTTCAAAAGCGGTTTGGGGGCATGGGCTTATATACCAGGGTTTGCGAGGATCATGGGCATCGTGGTGTAAGTATCTATGCCGGAGCACACAATCTGCCTGCGCCGACACATGTGACAAATGAAGTTTGCATGTGCTTGCATGACAAAGGAAGGCGATCGTTCTTCCGCTATGGCCGTCAGAAGATCTTGGTGCTGGCTCTGCGGCTGGACGGCGCAGCCCTCCTCAGTGTGCCTTCGGGGTTCGATGCCCCGAAAACATCGTGGACCCCCATGCGCCGGTGGTATCCGGAGGTGCGGAAACCCGTGCCATGCGTTTCTATCTGCAGGATCTAAGGGCTTAGAGTTCAGTAGTGAACGCCCAATCCTCTACAAACTCTAAGCTGTGCCTCCCGACACATGGTCAAAACCCAGCGGGCGTGAGCCTACACGTAAAGTCTCCCGAAACGTTAGACAACAAATGCTAGTACACTCTGCAAGCATGCATGCTAGCTCTCTAAATCCCCAATTACTATAAACATTCTCGAGCTCCTCAAGCCCTATGCGCCCCAGCACCTTAAACCCTAAACCCGAAACACTAACTTGCGATTGCAGTTTTTTCCGGTTTTTTTGATGGGTGTCGGAACCCTAAACCCTAAACCCTAAACCCTAAACCCTAAACCCTAAACCCTAAACCCTAAACCCTAAACCCTAAACCCTAAACCCTAAACCCCGCACTGCTGAGGCTCTTTTACGGGCCGCAAAGCCTTTTGGAGGTGGGGCTGCTCCCTCGCTCTCGTTGGATTTTTTCGAGGTTTTGCTTTGTTGGAGCCCTAAACTCTTGGGGTTTAGGGTTTAGGGTTTAGGGTTTAGGGTTTAGGGTTTAGGGTTTAGGGTTTAGGGTTTAGGGTTTAGGCTTTGCGGTTTAGGGTTTAGGGCTTAGGTTTGTAGGCTATTATGAATATGAAAACCCCTTGTAGGATTCTTGAAGGCCTAAACTTGGGATGTTCACCCCTTCTATTGACAGTTAACAGTCCTTAGTAAGGATGATCGTACCCATTTGTACCTTCCCTCTTAAGGACTGTTAATATAAGGGGGGACACCCCAACCCTAAGGACTGTTAATTAGCATAAGGGGGAACATCCCAACCCTAAACCCGAAACCCTACGCACTCCTTGCGGTTTGGAGTTTTGGATTCTTTTGGGTTTCAGGGTTGTAGCGCATGTGAGTGGTTTAGGTGACTGGGATTTTTGGTGGCTTTAAACAACTTAGCAAGTAGGTACAAAGTGGAGGTAGAAGTACCTTGCAAGGGGTCCTGCTTGGGGTTAGCCTTCTTACTATTCCTTTTGAATAGCTACTTTTTGAAGGAATGGACCATTGGGTTAGAAAGTCCCATAACGAAAGGGAAGTAGACTTGCCTTGCGGTTATGTTGAGGACAGGTATCGTAACATCTACCCAATCTAAGCCCTAATCATCCCTAATCCCCGAAGCCGAAACTCTCAGACCCGATATCTTACTACTCTGTGCTTTGTGCGCTTTTTCTCGGAGGTTCGATAGAGCCTATCCCGAAACCCTCAACCCTAAACCCTAAACCCTCCCTGAAGCTCGATGCTCCAGAAACCGGTTTTGGCCTGTTGCGGCCTTCACCCAACGCCGACAATTTTCAACCCAAAGCCCAAAACTTCTCAAGCCCCCAAGCCCTAAACTTCTTCGACCTTAAGCTTCTTGAACCCGAAGCCCTAAACGTGTTAAACCCTAAATCCGAAACCCTAAACGCTGCATCCTCAAACCCGGACCCTAAATCATAAGGCCCAAGCCAAACCCCAAAGCCCTAAACCTCAAAGTCCCGTTCTGGGAGCCTTTAAGCGTTTGGGGGGGACCGTCGCGATGGATCAAAGGCTTCACACAGCAGAAATTGCGCAAACCACCATGATTAGGCTGTTTAGGGGCGAGCTTGAAGGAATATGTAGGATGTTCAACACCCTAAATCTTAAATCCTAGAATTCAGGGGCCTAGGGTTCAGGGTTTAGAGGGTGACCCCCTATGTTGGGAAAGGCCCACTTCAGCCCAAAAGTTCAGACCCGAAGGTCCGATACCCATAATCGCTGTAAGCCCTTACTAAACCCCAGAAACCAGCCTGGGGTTTGGGCTCAGGGTATATCATTCCCAAATCCGCACAAAGACCCCCAGACCCTAATTTTGAACTATACACACCTGCCTACAGGACCCCTATTCCGAAACAAATACTCCTGCCCGAAATGCCTAAACCCTAAGCCCTAAGGACCAAACCTGAAACCCAAGCCCACTAAATCCCTGAGCCCCCAAACCTCAAAAACTCTAAACTCGAAAAACCCTAAGCCCCACATACCCAAAACCCCAAACCCCAAAAACCCTTAACTCCACGAACCCTTAACCCGTAAACCCTGAACCCTAAACCCTAAACCCTAAACCCTAAACCCTAAACCCTGAACCCTGAACCCTGAACCCTGAACCCTAAGCCCAAGCATCGCACACGGCCCCAAAGCGTGGCCCTTTGGCGATCCCTTCGCGAGGGTCGGGGGGGAGTTGGGGGAGGGAGGTGGAGGTTTGTTTGTTATTATGTTTGCTTCTTGATTATTTGTATTATTTTCATTATTATTTTTTGTTATTATTATTATTCTTCTTATTATTATTATTCTTATTATTATTATTTATTATCATATTATTATTATTGTTATTTTTTTTTTGGGGGGGGGGGTCTGGGGTTTAAGGGTTTAGGTTTTAGGGGTTGGGGGTGGTTGAAGTTGGGTCTTGGGCTTTCGGCTTTGGGTTTTGGAGTTGCGCATTTTTGGGTTTTGGCTTATGGATGCACGAGGGTAAATCATATAGACTCCTGGCTGCAGGTACATGACTTAGCGGTTCAGGTTTTGGGGTTTATGGTGTCAGGGCTTTGGGTTTTAGAGGTTTTGGGTCTTCGGGTTTTTAGGGCTTCGTGCGGCTTTTTTTTTGTGCCTTCGAGGGATTTAGGTTGGTGACTGGGGCTCAATGGATGGCTCGGGACTCTTTTTCAGGGTGGGTCGTTGCCTTCGCTGTGCGGCGGCAGAAGCCTTGACCTCGAGTTACCTGAAGTCCGTGGCGCCAGCGACGACAAGTCAAGAAGAAGGCAGGGCGACTCTCGTCGCAGCGAGGAGGAAGCAGAAGACGCTTCCACGAGACTCAGGCAAGCAGCCCCGCCGGCGCAAGGCGCCAAAAGCAAAGAGGGGTGGCGTGGAGCCTGTGGGAGCAATGTGGCAATGTGTCCGCCCACCCCCTTCTAGCACACAGAGATACAGCCCCGAGTCTTGTCTTCCGTGGTTAATTAGATCTCCTTCGAAACCCTGTGTAAACCAATATCAAGGGTGCAAAACCCAAAAGCCCCAAAGACCCCCAAAAGCCCTAAATCCCTCAGAGCCCTGAACCCCAAAAACCTTAAGCCCCCAAAGAACCTTAACAATCACCTCTAAATAATCCCCAAAAGCCCTGAACCCAAGAACCCTAAACCCCGAAACCCCTCGACGTCACCACGAAATCAACCCCTAAACCCTAAACCCTAAACCCTAAACCCTAAACCCTAAACCCTAAACCCTAAACCCTAAACCCTAAACCCTAAGCCCTAAGCCCTAAGCCCTAAGCCCTAAGCCCTAAACCCTAACCCTAAACCCGAGCTTTGAGCCCCTTTCACCCACAGCCCATCGGAGGCGCGGAATGGAGGCCCCGCCGGCTCCGCCGTATGCGGACGCGAAGCTTGGGGTGCGGGAACCTGCCTCACAGGTTTCGGGGTTTAGGGTTTAGGGTTTAAGGTTTAGGGTTTAGGGATTAGGGTTTAGGGATTAGGATTTAGGGTTTAGGGTTTAGGGTTTAGGGTTTATGGGTTCAGGGTTTAGGGTTCAGGGTTTAGGGTTTTCAACGGGTATAGGAGGGAAGGGACCCTTAATTCCCCCATATTACCCCTATATACCGGAGTAGCCCCTAAATAACCAGCAAATAACCCTTAAGGTCCCTTGTAGGGATCCCTCCTTTAGCCCCCTTGAGGTTTAGGGGTTAGGGTTTGGGGGTCAGGGTTTAGGGTTCAGGGTTTTTGCCTAAAGTATATACTTTTTTTCCATGGTCTACTCCAAAGCAGCGTTATTGAGTGGGAGAGAGATGGATCATACAAGCCCCCTCTGTTGAAAAGAGCCTCGTTACTTTATAAAGCAGGAACAGTCCTGAACATGTCGTACGCATGTCCCTTACAAAAAACTCACTTCATGAGTCACACAGTCACTTCATGAAACTTATACGTGCCGACAGAGGCTCACGCTGCTGACAGTGCGGGCGGAGAGTGGCACGACCCACTCTCTGAACGACCGAGCTTGGCACCGCGCGGCCACAGATCATGCCTGGTTCCGTTCTGGTTCAGGCGGTTCAGGCGACAAAGACGTGCTGTGTGCCGGTTTCTACAGCCAGCAGCGCAACTGAGGAAGTGGGCATCCTTTGCCAGCCGACAACGGAATGCTGCAGCTTCGAATACTAGTTTGCGGCCACGGACCGTTCCACTCTGGCTGCTTGCACAGGCAGTGCCCCCACCTGCAAGTCCGCCATCCCCCCCATATAGGGAATACGGCTTATAAGGGCCTAGAGGTCCCCTTCTCAAAGAGTATACTTGGACAGTTCAGATAAACCCGAAAACTCCCAGATAGCTCGTGGAGCCGCAATCTTCTCCTGGCACGCTGCTACAGCGTAGAAGGCTCACCGGTAGCCTCCCAAGATACCGAGAAACACAGGTATACCCTAAACCTAGTAGTAGAGTAGGTAACCTTTGACCTTTTTGGGGTAGCATAATCCCCTTATAATCCCGAAGGTTAGCCTTTAATTCCCCCAGGTTACTGGACAGCAGGTAAGCCCTAAACCATATAGTAGCCCTAAAAGATCGAGGGCACATGGGCTAGTCTTGGATATGGGTCTCGGGCTCGGTAGCCTTAATCGTGAGCAGAATGCTTGCAAAGTTCCCACTCAATCTCGTCCACCCCCCACTCCCCCCTAGGGTTTAGGGTTTTGGGTTCAGGGACACCGAACCACCTTTTCGGGTGTAAACCCTTGAGAAACCTTGGCCCCCGAACCACCCATTCGGGTTAAACCTTTGCTAAACCCCTGGGCCTTACCAGCCATGAACGCACATCCCAAATCAATCCTCCAACACCTTAAACTCAACACGCTAAACCCTACAATAACCCTAAACCCTACAATAACCCTGTACCCTAATAATCCTAAACCCCCAAATCAACCCTAACCTCACTATGAACCCGAGAGCCTATGAACCCGAATAAGCCTGATAACCCGAAACACTGAGCTCATAGCGAAGCCCCCCCAAAATCTTAAACCGTAACCTGAACCCTACACCCTCCGGACCCCGCAAGAACAACCTTAGCAAAGGGCTGAATGTACCTTAATGGTTTTCCAAGGTTATTTGAAGGGTTAGGGCTTAGGGTTTTGTGGGGGGCATTCTCAGTCATTCAGCAATTTCCGCGTGGAAGGGTTACTTGGGCAGTTCGGGTAAACCCCAATCCCTAAACCCTAAACCCTAAACCCTAAACCCTAACCCCTAACCCCTAAACCCTAAACCCTAAACCCTAAGCCTCGACTAAACCATCTGCCGAGTCCGTGTACTGGGATGCCCGCCACGCACGGGCCGGCCTGGGCCCACAGTCGGCTGCAGGTTTAGGGTTTAGGGTTTAGGGTTTAGGGTTTAGGGTTTAGGGTTTAGGGTTTAGGGTTTAGGGTTTAGGGTTTAGGGTTTAGGGTTTAGGGCCTAAAGGCTACTATGTGGTACCTTTCTAAATGGTAGTATACTATAACCCCCTATTACTAACCCAAAAAGACCTGCGCAGGGCTTAGGGTTTCAAGTTTAGGGGCTTGCGGGGAGTTTGGGGTTGATTCTGTGGCGGTTCGTGGGGGGGTGGGGTGAGTGGGGCTAAACCCTAAGGGGCGCTTTGGGAGTGCGGTCGAGGTAGAGGCTTGAGGGGCTTTGTAGCAGTGTCGACCCGATCGCTGAGCTACCCGCAAACACGAACCTGCATGCTGATTCGCACCATCGCCCCCCCAGCCGAAAAAGGCGCCTAAGCTGCAAACTGGGCTTAGGGTTCAGGATTTAGGGTTTGGACCGTATAATCGCCCTCAGCTTCATGCCACTTGCGAATGCAGCCGGTGCCTTCCCAAAACCTCGCAGCGGTGAACTTGTAGGATTTAGGGGGTTTAGGGTTTCGGGTTTAGGGTGTAGGGTTTAGGGTTTAGGGTTTAGGGTTTACGGTTTAGGGTTTAGGGTTTAGGGTAGGGTTTGGTTTAGGGTTTCGGGTTTAAGGTTTAGGGTTTAGGGTTTGAGGTCATGCTTTCCCGGTTCCCCTCCCCCACCACCAGACTAGGTGCCGCCTTCTTTGACTGGTATGTCACCTTTGCCAGGCACGGTGTGGCCTGATGAACAAAGGAGGGGCCCCTATAAGAGACCTTGGGGGTGATTTAGGGGCTAGTTTGGCATACATACATATATATATATATATATATTTATTTATTTAGGGTTGTATAAGAGCTAAACAGAGGAAGAGGGGCCAAACTACTATTGAGGTATAGGGGCCCTCTAGAAGGGGGGATTCTTGAGAATCCTGCTTGCAGAACCTTATGCTTATGGGATGTTTTTGGGCCCCTAAAGTTTCCCAAAACCCTGAGAACCCTGATACCTAGGCCGCTTATCCTAGGCCCAAGCAAGGACCCTTATTCATTTTTGGGGGTTAGGTGCCTTGTGAGCAAAAAGGCACCCTTTGTTGTTCCTGGGTTCCTTTGGCGCCTAATCTCCCTAAGAGCGAAATCCGAAACCCTTCCTTTCGACTCTTCCTTATAAGGGCTTTTGCTTTTCAAGCCGTAACAGGGTTTCGGAGAGCTTGGGGGTTTAGGGTTTAGGGTGGAGGGTTTAGAAGGCACATATTATAATCCCAACCCCGAAAGCCTGCGGTGGGTCCAAAACCCAAAACCCTAACCCTAAACTATGAGGTTAAGAGTTAAGGGATATGGTTTGGGTAAGGGTTAAGGGCTGCTGGTCACTGCAGGCATGAGTCCATGAGCAGGGTTTCATGGCCCAAGAGCTCTTTCTCGAGGTAGGACGTCGGGACGTTATATATATATATATGTATATATATATATATATAAAGGGAGATAGATAGAAAGAAAGATAGATATGTATATATACACATATGTATATATATATATATATATGTATATTTAGACCCTTATACCCTGATTGGCTTTTTGGTTCAAGAGTACCTGGAGTACCTTGTTTGGGACATTGTCCGGGATGGCTTGAGGGCTCAACCTAGAACCGCATCCCCAACCTGAAACCTGTGGCTAATCTTTAGGCCATCACCCTAACTTGCCACAAATGCAGAATACACCCTAGACCCTAAACCTTTCATCCCTGAACACCCAAAAATTGTCCCTGCTTCGGGAAGCCTAAACCCTAAACCCGGGAACCCCAAGCCCTAAAACCTAGACTACGACGCTAAAAAAGCTGGCTCTTTCCAGCACCTGAAAGGCCCAAACCCTAACACCCTAATACCCTAATACCCTAATACCCTAATACCCTAATACCCTGGCCCCTAAACCCGAATACCCCAAACCCGAAACCCCCAAGCTCTGACCGTCGGCCGGGCAGCTTGAAGGGCTTAGGAGCTTGCGGGTTGTTATCCCCCACATGAGCGGTAGAGTTTGGGTTGAGGGTCTGTCAAACCCTAAACCCTAAACCCCTAAACCCTAAGCCCTAAAGGCCCGAGACAATATAGACCCTCAACCTTACAGTCGAGTGTTGCCGCGGAGGCTACTGCATGTGTTCAACGTCCTGCCCGGCGCCTAGGAAGACGGAAGCCCTAAGCTTCAATGGGCCTCTGGATTCTAAGGGTTTAGGGTTTAGGGTTTAGGGTTTAGGGCTGAGGATTCAGGGTTTGGGTTTGCATGGCCCCTTAGTATGGTCCCCTACCTTCTTGAAACGGTTCTGAAGTATGGGCCTTTGGGTTGTATGGGATCTATGGGGGGTATATAATGGGTCCCCTTAAGAAACTCTAAACCCTGAAACCTAAACCCTGCACTGAAAGGGACCTCATTTAATGTTGGGTTACTAGAACCCTAAACCCCAAACCCTAAACGTCATCTACAATGACTGCACGCACTAGGGTGTAGGGTTTAGGGGTTTAGGGGTTTAGGGGTGTAGGGGTTTAGGGGTTTAGGGGTTTAGGGGTTTAGGGGTCTAGGGGTTTAGGGGTTTAGGGGTTTAGGGGTTTAGGGGTGTAGGGGTTTAGGGGTTTAGGGATTTAGGGATTTAGGGATTTAGGGATTAGGGTGTAGAGTTGTTAGACCTTGGTGCATCTCCATCTGAAGTGATAGCAGCTCAACGTTTGCTGCTGAAGCAGCTGCGCAAGAGGTTGCTCAGCAAGCTCAAGTGTTGCGTGACGCAGCTCTTTCGCACGTGCAGGTCAGGCGAGAGAGATCATACGGGGGTTTACGATATTAGGGGTACCTGCTTGGGGTCCTTACTATAAGGGGATCCTAGAATGTGGGGTCTAAATTAGGCGTCCCATATTACCGTAAACCTCCCATATCGGCAACTATGCATGAGGCTGTAACAGTTGAAGCCTTGCGTCAGCAATTGACAGGCGCAGCCCTAACCCCCAAACCCTAAACCCTAAACGGCACTCTGATCTTCAGCCATACAGGGGTATGTTCTTGGGTTTAGGTTAGAGGGTTTTTTGAGCTCAAAGGATCCTTGTCGAAGCCTTCGTTCCGATATTTGCTCCCCGTAGAAGCCTGCAAAAAAAGTGCCCTACCCTGATGCTGTCCCCAAATTACAGGGGCAACTGGGGACGGTTCAAGTTTTGGTCCACCCCGAAACCCAATAAACCCTAAACTCTGCAAAAAGGCCCCTCAACCCGAGTGGGCGGCTGCCTTACACAGTAGGACTGGGTGCACAGCACGAAGGAAGCTGCAGCAGTTTGCCTGTCGCGCCTTCCGGACGAAGTTTTTCTGAGCTATGGGTGGGTTTAGGGTTTAGGGTCAACCATAAGCAAAACCACTACAAAACCCTCAAAAGTCTATCAGAGAACCTTAAACACCCTTTCAAATGACCTTAAAGGTCCCTTAAAGCCCTCTCAAACCCTTAAAAACCCCTTCATCCCTGTAACAGCCTTTAGAGGTCCACAAAGCCCTTTCCTTTCGAGAGCCCCATCCCTAAACCCTAAACCCTAAACCCTAAACCCTAAACCCCAAACCCCAAACCCCAAACTGCCGAGGCTGCCCAGCCCAGAGGCGAGCCCGGAGATCCTGGAGGTGGGTTTTGGCACCTCTGAGGCCCTACGCTTACGGGTTTAGGGTTTAGGGTTTAGGGTTTGGGGTTTAGGGTTTAGGGTTTAGAGTTAGTCTAGGGTTCCTTCTAGGGTGCTTTTTTGGGCTTTTGTTGGGCGCTTAAACGGCGTTTAGGGGTTTTTGCGGGTTTCGTAGAGGTTTTCGGGCTTTTCAGGCTTCGTTCAGGGTTGGTAGTATGTGTCTTTTTTGGGGCCGTTAGATATTTTTCGGGCATAGAGGGCTTTAACTAGGGCTTGAGGGTGTTTTAGGGCTTCCGAGTTTTCAGGGCTTTCAGCGTTCGGGTTTTAGGTTGTTAGGGTGGTTTAGAGATGGTTTGGGGTCTAGGGTTTTGGGTAGTGGGGTTTAGGGTTGAAGGTGTAGTGAGGTTTTGGGGAGAAGCCTCTAGCCGCCCTAAACCCTAAACCCTAAACCCCAAGCCCTAAACCCTCAACCTTAAACCCGGGTGGGCCTGTGGTCCGCTATCCCTACAAGTCGGCCTTAATTATTGGGGTCATATACCCTATATACTACGATGAACCCCTTTCGGGTTCATTTCGGTCCCTCAAGTTAGGTGTCCTAAACCCTAAACCCTAAACCCTAAACCCTAAACCCTAAACCCCAAACCCCAAACCCCAAACCCACGCTAAGGCTCCAAGGACCCTCCTGCAGAGGGACTGGTACCTCCTAGCAAGGGTTCTGGGGTCTGAACTCCTGGATTTTTTGAGGGCCCAGAGCCTTAGGGTTTAGTTATTAGGGTTTAGGGTTAGGACACCCGAAGCACAAAACACTCCCTGCTTCGGAGATCCCACTGCGGCTCTTTGAGAACGGCTGGGAGCTGGTAACTGCCATCGACACCTCAGTTGGGCACCGAGTCTGCGTAGGGTTGGGTTGTGGGTTTAGGGTTTAGGGTTTAGGGTTTAGGTTTTAGGGTTTAGGGTTTTGGGTTTGGGTTTTGGGCTTTGGGCTTTGGGCTTTGGGTTTTGTATGCAGGTTCCGCGTAGAGTTCTCCTTGCCCTTAGGGTTGAGGGTTTAGGGTTTAGGGTTTCGGGGTTTAGGGTTTAGGGTTTTAGGGTTTAGGGTCTAGGGTTTTGGGGTTCGGCCTTGCCTGGGTCCCGATTGACCTACAGGTTTAACGGTTTTACCTACTAAATAGGGGGTACCTACTACTACCAATTTGTGTCCCAGGCTAAGGATATTTCTCGAAAACGTGATTCACAGCCTTCTTTTCTGGGCCTTCAGGCACTCCCTACAAAGCCTTAAGCCCTAAGCTCCTGTTTCTATAAGCCATGTCATCCCTTATTTCTGAATCATGGGTATTGGAGCGTCAGGGTACGCCAGCCCAAAGCCCAAAACCCCTAAAACCCTAGAACCCTAAAGCCCTAAAGCCATAAAACCCCGAAACCCTAAAACCCTAAAACCCGAAACTCAACTTCTCCCAAAAACCCTAAACCCTAAACCCTAAACCCTAAACCCCTCAACCCCTCAACTCCTTCAGGCCGAAGCCGTTCGCTTGGCCAAGGGCCGTGGGCAGCATCAGCGCAAAGCGGCCCTCCAGTTCCTTCAGGCTGGGATGTAGGGCTCTAGGGTTTCAGGGTTTTAGGTTTTAGGGTTTAGCCCTAAGCCCCAAACCCGAATCGCAAGGAAGTAGTAGCAAACCCGAAACCCTGAAACCCTGAAATCCTAAAACCCGAAGCCCTAAACCCTAAACCCTAGCACTGGTCAGATGGACGCGCGGGCCCTTGAATTCCCAGATGAATGCTTCGACGTGGTTCTCGATAAGGTGCGGCAGGGCGAGGGTTTAGGGCTTACCCTGAACCCTCCACCCTAAACCCTCAACCCAACACCCCAAACTCGAAAGCCAAAACCCTCAACCCTAAACCCCGAATCCCTAAAACCCTAAACCCTAAACCCTAAACCCTGAAACCCTAAACCCTGAAACCCTAAAACAACCCTAGGGCTCGAGGCCTCCAGGGCCTCCAAGGTTTTTGTGGGGTTTTGTTTACATGTTTTTTCGTTTCCTGGTTGTTTCATTTGTTTGGTTCCTATTGTTTGTTATGTGTTTTGCTTTTGGGGGTTTTAGATGCTTGTGAAGTTTGGATTCTTCGGTTTTGTAAACTCTTTTGACTTGTAGTCTTTCTTGCGGTGATATACCCCAAGTTACAAATTCGAGTAAGGTCGATGAAGCCTAAACCCTAAACTCTAGACCCTAAACCCTAAACCCTAAACCCTAAACCCTAAACCCTTTCAGGGTTCCTTTGGTCCACAAGGTACACAAACTCCCAGCATGGGAAGATGCTCCTAAACTTCCTACTTGGAAGTTTAGGGTTTAGGGTTTAAGGGGTTAGGGTTTAGGGTTTGGAGCATTCTGCCTAGCTGAGACAAGCAAGTACGCGATAAGAGTGTTGGTTGGGGTTTAGGGTTTAGGGTTTCGAATTTAGGGTTAGGGTGTTAGGGTTTAGGGCTACATCCTAAAGCCACTGAACCCTAAACCTTGCAATTCCTAGGGCCCTGCAAAGCCTAACGGGCAACCGATACCCTGAGCGTGCCCTATTAGGACCTGAAGCAAGTGACCTTCAATACTGGGACCCAGCGTAGGCCCTCATTCCCTTCTAGGTAGGCTTTTTGGGATATGTCATCATTTTCCTTATCGGGTTTTAAGAGGACCATATTTAATTAGGAATATTTTTCGGCGGGTTTTAAGGGCCTTCATACTCTTTTTGTTAGGGTTCAGGTCCCTTAGAAGCCCCTTTCAGCTGAAAAGTACCCTTATTGCCTTTTTCGGGGTTTAGGTTTCCTTATAACCCCTTTGAGACTCTTCTTAATCCCAGCTTTCTGGGCAGCCTAGCCCTAAACCTTAAACCTTAAACCCCAAACCCCAAACCCCAAACCCCCAACCCCCAACCCCAAACCCCAAACCCCAAACCCCAAACCCCAAACCCCAAACCCCAAACCCTAAACCCTAAACCCTAAACCCTTATATAAGTCCTAATGGAGAAGGTATAAAGCCTTGGCCCCGTGAGTGCAGGCCACGCTTGACACGATTCTGTGCGCTGGCGATGGCGGCGGGCAAGCCCAGGCGCGCGGGTAACCCACAAGGGTTTAGGGTTTGGGGTTTGGGGTTTAGGGTTTAGGGTTTAGGGTTTGGGGTTTGGGGTTTGTGGTTTAGGGTCTAGGGTTTGGGGTTTGGGGTTAAGGGTTTGGGGTTAAGGGTGTGGGGTTCAGGGTTTACAGGGTTAGGGTATATCTTCAACCCTAAACCCCAATCCAACCCCTACGTCCTGAAAGTTTTTGGGGGACTAGATGAGGTCTCAACACTGAGACCCTGTACCATTTTACGACCCCCAGTCCCCAAGCCTGGATACCTGACACCCTTAGACCCTAAAGCCTAAACCCTAAACCCTAAACCCCAAAAGCCAGAAACCCTACCCTAAAAGCCCTAAAACCCTAAAACCTTAAAACTTTAAAACCCTAAAACCTTAAAACCCTAAACTCTTGTTGGGGGTTCACGCGCTCCCCATTGCAATATCCGTTCTCAACCCTCAACCATGAGCCATCCCAAAGCCCAGCAGATATACCCCCTAAACGCTAAAACCTAAAACGGAAGACCTAAGCCCTAAGCCCTAAGCCCCAAGCCCTAAACCCTAAACCCTAAACCCTAAACCCTAAACCCTAAACCCTAAACCCTAAACCCTAAACCCCAAACAGCCTGCAGGCCTACCTTTCCGAGGCCTACCGAGTGCTGAAGCCCAGAGGGGCCCAGCTGCCACAGTTGCGAGATTGATAAAGATAGGGTTTAAGGTTTAGGGTTTAGGGTTTAGGGTTAGGGGTTTAGGGTTAGGGTTTAGGGTTTGGGGTTTAGGGTTCAGGGTTTAGGGTTTCAACCTGAACCCTCGGAGGCTTTGGGGAGTTTTAGGGCGAGCTGCTCCGAGGCCTATCTAGAATAGAGGGTAGTAGCTCGACCCAAAAAACCCTAAACCCTAAACCCTAAACCCTAAACCCTAAACCCTAAACCCTAAACGTTTAACCCTAAACCCTAATCCCTAAGCCTACTAGCCCGAAACCCACATAGAGCGCCTCACAGGCACGAGTGGTTCAAGAAGGTGCCAGGTCGTGGCGGAGGGCAATCGGGTTTAGGGTTTAGGGTTTAGGGTTTAGGGTTTAGGGTTTAGGGTTAGGGTTTAGGGTTTAGGGTTTAGGGTTTAGGGTTAGGGTTTAGGGTTTAGGGTTTAAGGTTTAGGGTTTGCGCTAGTAGGGTGGTTTAGGGTTTACCTGGGACTCTCTTTACCTACAGTTCAATGGGTTATACCTACGAATTAAGGGGTAGTTGCTACTAAACTGTAGGTACATACCGTCCCAGGTAGGTCTGAGACCCTAAACCCCAAACCCTAAACCCTAAACCCCCTTAACCCCCCTAAACCCCTTAAACCCCCTTAAACCCCCTAAACCCGAAACCTCCTATATAAACCTTCTAAACCACCTAAACGTCCTAAACCCTAAACCCCAAACCCTAAGCCCTACACCCCCGGGCCGAAAATTTCGACCCACGGCACATGTTGAACGGCATGCAGACAGTGAAGGCTCCCGCGGAGTAGCGGAGTGCCGAGAAGTAGCGTTTTCCCTACGCCTGCTAGCGGAGAAATTAATACCCCGTTTTGAAAATATAGTACTATAGAAGCTCCGGAGGAGGCCCACTTGTGTCAGGAGTCTATGGGGAAGAGGGCGGGGCACAGGTGTCAGGACCCCTAGATGTCGGTGGGTCGAACTATTGGCCCGGCGCAGTAAGCCCTAAGCCCTAAGCCCTAAACCCCTAAGCCCTAAACCCTAAGCCCCAAGCCCTAAGCCTTAAGCCCTAAACCTAAGCCCTGAGCCCTAAGTCCTCAGCCCTAAACCAAGCCATAGGGCTCATTGGGCCGCACCTGGAGTCGCCTTTGCACCTTCGAAGCGCACCTTAAGTATTGTGCATTAGGGTTTAGGGTTTAGGGTTTAGGGTTTAGGGTTTAGGGTTTAGGGTTTAGGGTTTAGGGTTTAGGGTTTAGGGTTGCGCATTTTTAGGGCCTAGGGTTTGCAGCGCCCTTGCCCCCTGCCTTTCCCCCTTGCCAGCTCTTTCTCCTGGTGTCGCACTCCGGGCCATCCTTGCGACTCCATCACCTGGCGCAGGCTCCGCGGTCGTAGTCTGCAGGGTTTCCCTCAGGGGCTGGGTAGTTAACCTCGAAGCTCGTTTGGTCATATTATATAAATATATATATATATGTGTATAGTATCCTTTCTGGTTATATATTATATATAATATATAATCTTTATATGCACTAAGTCTTTTTTGGTTCTGTATCAAAATAACTAAATAAGTAGATATATGTGTGTATATGTATATGTGCATAAATGGGAGGTTCCGAAAATAGGGGTACCCTTTGTGGGTGTCCCTTTAAAGCGGATTCTTGTGAAGGGACAAAGGGGCTGGGGGCTACAGGTTTTTTGGGGGGGCATTGTAGGGGCACCTGCTGGATCGCGTTGTGATCATCCTGCTGCTTGCAGACGCTGCGCTGGAGCTGACTGATGAACTTGAGCAGGCCATCGAGGAACACGCAGCTTCATTTGTCGAGCTCTACTTTGCCTGCGCCAAGCCGAAGTTTCATTGGCTCTTCCACCTTCCGCGTTGTCTTCCGGCGCTGGAAGAGAAACCTGAGTTGTTTTGTCACGGAAAGGAAAAACAAGGTGGGTAACAGCATGAGCATGGAAGCGGCCAACCTTCGCACCTGAACGTGGTGCGACGGTCTGCGTACGACAATGTGTACAGATGTGTTGAACAAAGAAGATTTTGCTCAACACACCTTGATGTCTTCGGGCGGCAAAACCATCGACTGGGCACCGCCGCTGCTGCAGGAAATTCCCCAGGCATCAACACGAGGGCATTACAGGGTCCATAACGGCCATAGGGTCTGTAAGGGTGTATAGGATCTAGGGTTTCGGGCTAAACCCTGAACCCTAAACCCTAAACCCTCGAAGCCCTAAACCCTAAATCCTTAGGCGCCAGGGACCTTTGGATATGTCCCCGCTCGCAGGAATTAACTCACAGGCTTAGGGTTTAGGGTTGGGGTTCAGGGTTCAGGGTTTAGGGTTTGAGGTTTGCTTAGGGTTCAGGGTTTAGGGTTTAGGGTTTGAGGTTTAGGGTTTAGGGTTCAGGGTTTAGGGTTTAAGGTTTAGTGTCCGCTATGGCAGTGACTGGCAAAGGGAACCATGCTATCGAACGGACGACTTCTTTTTCATCTGAGGTGCAAGGTTTGGCTTTTGAAGGCACATTAAACAGGGCTTAAATGCCTCCACCTAAACCCTTAAGCCCCCCAAAACCCAAGCCCACTTTAAACCCGCCAAGACCCGAGGCCCTTCAACCCTTTCAACCCCTGGACCGAAACCCTAGACCCCGAAACCCGACAAACGCTAAGCCCTATTCAACCCTAAGCCCTAAACCCTAGCCCTAAACCCTAAACCCTAAACCCTCAACCCTAAACCCTAGCCCTAAACCCTAACCCAGAACCCCTAAGCCCGAAGCGCTACAACTCCAAAAGCTCCGAGCCCGCTGCGCACCCGGCCGCGGCAGGACTCCTTGCGGAGGTGGCAGATCCAGGCTGGCAGACGCAGGGTTTTCCTAAACCCTAAACCCTAAACCCTAAACCCTGAACCCCAAACCCTAAACCCTAAACCCTAAACCCTAAACCCTAAACCCTAAACCCTAAACCCTAAACCTTATAAACCCTAAACCCTAAACCCTAAACCCCACGATTTAGGGTTTCGGTGTGTTGCAAGGGATGAGGAATCGAGGGGTTTAGGGGTTTATGAGTATTAGGGTAAATGGGTTTAGGGTTACTTAGCAGGGTTGAGCCCGAATGAGACCCCAAGTCACAACCCACCTCCAAAGCAGAGGGCTTGGGGCTTAGGGCTTAGGAGCTTAGGGTTTAGGGTTTAGGGTTTAGGGCTAGGGTTTAGGGTTTAGGGTTTAGGGTTTAGGGTTTAGGGTTTAGGGTTTAGGGTTTAGGGTTTAGGGTTTAGGGTTTAGGGTTTAGGGTTTAGGGTTTAGGGTTTAGGGGTTAGGGTTGAGGGGTTAGGGTTTAGGGTTTAGGGTTTAGGGTTTAGGGTTTAGGGTTTAGGGTTTAGGGTTTAGGGTTTAGGGTTTAGGGTTTAGGGTTTAGGGTTTAGGGTTTAGGGTTTAGGGTTTAGGGTTTAGGGTTTAGGGTTTAGGGCCCTAAGGTTGTACCCCTAAAGGTTCCCCATAATTTGCTCCTAATATGGCCCTTATACCCCAAAACCCAATTGCAAGGGTGCAACCTTAAGGGTCCAAGGTAGAAACCCTAGAGTAAACCCCCTAAATCCTCAAGCCCAAACCACCTAAACCGTTTAGCCTGAACCCTACACTCTAAACCCCGAACCCTGAACCCAACCCCAAACCCCTAGACTCTAAACCCCCTAAACCTACACCTAACCCCAAACCCTAAACCCTAAACCATGAACCCTAAACCCCAAACCCTAAACCCTCAACCCCAAACCCTAAACCCTAAAACCAAACCCTAAAGCCTGGGGTCCTTTGGTGCCAGGTGGCCCGGCTGCCAGTCAAAGCACCAAGCGCGGCCCCTCAGCCCAGCGGAACTTTGGGCTCGGGGTTTGTAGGGTTTAGGGTTTTGGCTTTTGGCTTTTGGGTTTTGGGTTTAGGGTCTCACAGTTTCGGGTTTAGGGTTTAGGGTTTTAAAGGTTTAGGGTGGGGTCTCACAGTTTTGGGTTGAGGGTTTAGGGTTTGGGGTTCTGAGCTGTCAGGTTTGGGTGCAGGGAGCTAAGGGCTTCAGGGCTTAGTGAATATAGGCTTCAGGTCTGCTAAGGCTTCATGAGGGCTTACATCAGTTTTTTGTGGTGAAGTCTGTTGAAGCCTAAAACCCTCAGCCCTGACCTACAACCATCAACCCCTAAACCCTAAACCCTAAAAACCCCAAACCCCAAACCCCAAACCCCAAACCCTAAACCCCAAACCCCAAACCCTAAACCCTAAACCCTAAACTTACCAAATCTGGCGCCGGGCGCCAAGCCCTTCAGGTCCTGATGTCCAAAGCGAAACGGACTTCCAGGCCACTCTGCTGCTACAGTTTGGGGTTTAGGGTTTGGGGTTCAGGGTTTAGGGTTTAGGGTTTAGGGTTTAGGGTTTAGGGTTTAGGGTTTGGGGTTCAGGGTTTCGGGATTAGGGTTCAAGGTTTAGGGTTTAGGGTTTAGGGTTTAGGGTTTAGGGTTTAGGGTTTAGGGTTTAGAGTTCAAGGTGTAGGGTTTGGGGTTCAGGGTTTCGGGATTAGGGTTCAAGGTTTAGGGTTTAGGGCTAGGGTTTAGGGCTTGGAACTGGGGGCTTGCAGTGTATGGGGTTTAGGGTTTAGGGGCGAGAGCTTTTGCCGGGTGGTTAAAGGGGTTTTTGGTGTAGGGTTCAAGGTCTAATTAGAGGTTTACCGGGGGGGGGGTTTGTTTTCGGAAGTTTTTAGGGGGTCGGGTTTAGGGTTCAGGGTTGAGGGTTTAGGGTTTGGGGGTATATGGAACATACGGGTTTCGGGTTTGGGATTGAGTGTTTAGGTGGAGTGTCGGTTGCTTCGAAGAGTTCAGCTTGTGACTTACGGTTGCAGGGGTGTGGGCCGACAGGTCGAGGAGTTGGGATGCGGCCCTCCTGGTTCAAGATACTGAATTCTACGCCCCAACCCCTGGACCCCGAAAACTGTAAACCCGAAATCCAAACCCTCAAACCCTAAACCCTAAATCCCCACACCCTAAACCCTAAACCCTCAAACCCTTGCCGCAGGAGCCTGCACAGGCTGTAAGGCGGCGTTGGGCTTTGGGGTTTCGGGCTGCTTCAGAGGGCTTGAGGGTAGGGTTGCAGGTTTCGGGTTTTGGGTTTGGGGTTTAGGGCTGTAGGCTGTAGGATGTAGGGTATACATAGGGTGTAGGGGATGCGATTCTCGCGGCTAAACCCTAAACACCCTAGTTTTCAAACACATAAATCGAAAATCTTAGCAATATTCAGAACTTGGATAGTAGTTATAGCATTAGTCAGATTTGTAATATTCATACTTGTCATAGTGTTCACAATACAAATCCGAATGGCCATCTTGATAGTATTGACAAGTATTGGCAATATTTTGAATATTGTTAACATTCATTGCATGAATGACATGATTAGCAGTGTACGCGTTAGTCTTGTTATGAACATAAATACCAATGATAGTAAAATTACCAGTAAGAGTATGCACAGTACTAACCCAGCTGTGCCACCCAACAGCCAGCAAGAAAAAGATGATTCAGGTTCCGCCGGTTTGGGGTTTAGGGTTTAGGGTTTAGGGTTCCGTTCCGTTCCGGCGAAGGGTCCCGTTCGGGTGCCTCTCCCTTGTGGCTCGTCTTTCCGTTCCGGTTGGGCTCCGGAGTCTCATTTTACCCCCCACCTCTAGAGATGGAAACCCAACCCTGGCTGTTGGGAATCATTTTTCATTGTCTTATTAATTCTGGCAATACTTTATAACATAAGGTTCATAATATCAACGACAAACCAGTGAGAACAATGAGTTGATAAAACAATAAAACAAAATACGCTAGATAAGTACATGTACACGCTTTTTTTATGCATCGTAGATGTATATGTGAGAGGGTTAGGGTGTAGGGTTTTGTTGCGGGCCGTCCTTGCCGTAAACGACAAACGCAACCCCCCAATCACGCCTAAAGCATCTACTACTTGCTTAAGAACCCCCCCCCCCCCCCCCCCCCAAAAAAAAAAAAAAAATAGATATTCTTCCTTATTAAGGGTAATATAGGGATGATGATTTTTGTATTCTTTTGGGGTTCTTAACAAAAGGTAGTCATGGCTTTAGGGTCTGAGAGTTCCGGGGTTTGGGCCAATTCAGGCGGGGAGGGGGCGCGTTCTAGGGCATGCTGAGCTTGTCTTGGAAGGTTTTGGGGTTTGGGGGTTAGGGGTTAGGGTTTAGGGTTTAGGGTTTTGGGGTTAGGGGTTAGGGTTTTGGGGTTTAGGGTTTAGGGTTTAGGGTTTAGATTTTAAGATTTAGAGTTTAGGGTTTAGGGTTTAGGGTTTAGGATTTAGGGTTTCGGATTTAGGGTTTAGGGCCTTATTAGGTTTCAGGGTTTAATGAGGTTTCGCTGCATAGGCTCGTGTTCTACAGAGGTTCTTGAAAGCCACCTGGGGTCAGGGCAATCTGAAACCCTACGAACCTTAATTAAACCTGAAACCCTACCCAGATGGCCCACTCGAGAACTAAGCAAAGGCACCCTAAACCCCAAGCTCTAAGCACTAAGCCCTATAAACCCTAAGCCCTAAGCCCTAAGCCCTTGCCCTAACCCCAAGCCAACAACAACTGCATGCCGCTCCACCTTGCAGTCGTTGCTTCTGGATCTTTGCGTGCACGAAGATTGGGGATGAGGACGAGGCAAAGACTTTTCGTGCATTTTAATATTTAGCCTGATTATTTTCTTCTTATTATTATATTTTGTATGATTATTGTCCATATTAGTATTACTAATAAGAGCTTGTTTTTTCTTATGCAGTCTCATTATTTGGGATGTTCCCCCTTATACTAACAGTCCTCAATAGGGATGAAAATAGGGGTACTATAATCCCTATTGAGAAGTGCTAGCATAAGGGGGGACATCCCAACTCATTGTTGCATTAGGGTCTTATTTAGGGAAGTCAAGGAGCTTTAGGCGAGCACCTCGCAAAACAAGGGGTATTGGAGGCT